CCCAAAAATTAAAGTTTGTAGCTTTATTTGCATATATGCAAACTATTTCAAATTTTTTTTGCTTAATGTAAAAAAGCCGTAATATTACGTACGTAATATTATGGCTTTTTTATAGTTCGTAAATTATTACGAAATATTACGGTCTTATAAATTTGCTGATGTAGGTACTCTATATAGGTAACCGGGTGAGTCATATTTCAGTAATAAGATGTAATATAAAAATTCTTTGAATTGTCATATATGATCAATAAAAGCAGGGCATGTGGCATAATCGTCAAAAAAAAAAAAAAAAAAAATTTTATTTAGATCATGTTATTTTGAGCAATTTTGGGCATATTCTTTTTTTTTAATTTGTTTATAAATAGTTATTTGTTTTGAAATTAAATTTTTAATAAATGTTGTTGTTGTGATTCAAAAATAATCACACATGTAATACAAAACACATGATGTATTACTTTTAATTATTCACAATTAAAATCAGATGAAGTATTTATATGATACAAAATAACAATATAAAAGTAAATCATATTGTTGTTTTTGTATTATTATACAATATTGAATCTAATTGATAATTAAACTTTACAAAAAAAAAAAATGAATGACTCTAGCTCAAAGAGCTAATATTTTATTTTTACTACAGAAAGGACACATTGCAAGGGCAGTAAATCTTATCTACAATGTTAGCTCCTCTACTGTAATTTGTATTAAAAATAAGTAGCTATAACACTATGTACTTGAGGACTTAAAAAGGGTTAGTTGCCTAGTTGCTCTGGGTAAACTAATCCAAAAAAAAATTATTAATCTAATTGTCTTGTGTTGTTGTTCTAGTGCTATCAAAGTTTGCTCTTGCTTTAAAGAACAAGAAAACATTGATATTTCAGCACTCATTGTTTATCATATACTCAGGGTCCATAGTTTGGTATTAGAAATCAAAAGATAAAAACTCTACCTAAGCAAAGTTTATAAAAAATATAGGTTAGAATTTGCAATAAAACATGAAAATTGAACCTATAAGACTGGGCCAAAGTAATTTGGTCTAATGAGTTGAAATTCAAAATTTGTGAGTTGGATAGCAAGTAATACTTTTGAAAAAATTTCCAATAAACTATTAAACAACTTCCACATTAAGCCTACAGTGAAGTATAAAGGTGGTTTTGTAATAATTTGGAGCTGTTTTACATCTCACAATGTTGGTAGTTTTTGCAAAATTGAAAATAATATGAATAGTGAGTTATATTAACAAATTCTTCATGAATATTTTATAGATATGGTTAGAGATCATGAGTCTGATCTTTGCAATGTTATTTTCTAGCAAGACAATAATTCTAAACATATGATGAAGTTGATGATATATTGGTTAAGAAATAATTGGATTAGGGTGTTGGATTGGCCCCAGTCCCCTGATTTCAACTCTATCAAACATTTGTAGAATGAGGTTGACTATCAACTTAAAAACTCTCTAGACAAATTTTAGGTAAAGAAGACTTGTGAATCAAGATTTAGGTGGTTTGGGAACAAATTGGCATTGAAGCCTGTGCAGACCTGTTCTGATCCATGCCTGAACATGTTCATGACATTATCAAGGCACATGGTAAATACACCAGGTAGTAGAGGCCAAAAGGATTAGAATAGAAAAAATTTTTTTTATATATAAAAAAATTTTTTTTATGTTTTAATATTTTGTTGCATTACATACAATCAAAAGTAATGCAACATGTCAAATGAAATAAAGATTGTGTTAATGAAAATTTAAGATCATTTATTTTTTTTGAATTTTTAATACATGAAATCTATAGTAATCACAAATAAATTTAAAAAAAAAGGATACACCTAGAATTGCTTGAAATAATGTGATCTAAGTGAAATTTTTTTTTACTCTATTATCATTGGCCACTGCATACAGTACCCAGGGTCTTATTTAAGAACTTCGTTTTTAAAATTGAATAGTACCCGTGGGTATTGTGTGAGGAACCAGGTACTATATTTAAGAAATACATCATATGAAAGTATAAATTAAATATAGTTATACCCCGGGTATTATTCAAGAATTAAGTCGGATGGGTGGTGAATTATACCCGGGTCTTAATCACTGGGTATTATTTTTGTGGGATACTGTATGCAGTGGCTAATGGTACTTATGATCGCCACTGTATGACTTGGAGAAGTTTGATTGAATATTAGAGATCTTCATTAATAGAAGAAAAAATAAGCAAGGTTTGATAGATGGAAGTTGTGTTTAAATTTACTAAGAAAATCTATATTTTTCAGTATAACCTAACATTCAAGTAGTGGCTGTTAATATTTTCAAAAAAACTTCGTATCAATTATTTATGCAAGATGGATAGAATTGATTTAAAAATGCAAATTCGTTATATTGAAAATTTTTTATTAAATAATTTACAGCACACCAAACTTGAGTGTCGAAAACGAATTGTAGCACTAACATCAGGAAGTTTTAAAATCAATAATAAACTCGTTGTTTAATTTAAAAGAATAAGCATCATACTTTTAAAGATAATCATAACAATATACAACTAGATATTTAACTACTTAGTTAAATAACATGTTGTACATTGTATATTGATATTTTATACATTGCAATGTTTAACGAAGCCCCCGTTTTTCAATGTTTTTTTAGATTGATTAACCCGGGTTAATCATCTAGATTTATTATTTTTTTATAACTTTGTGATGAAGTCATTCACTTGCAGAAAAAATAATTCACTATATTCAAGGAGAATGCAAAAATTCCTAATATATATATGAATTTTTAAATATATTTGTTTACGTATGCAAATTTAGTTTGTGTTTAAGAAACATGTAATAATTTTTTTTTCTTTAGCATAAAATTAATCGGTAAATGCATAAAACGGCGTGTCACTCTTAATTCATGTCAATAATTGACATGACGTGACATCTATCTGCTATCTGCTATAACTTAACTATGTACGTACGTACGTCACCAATTTCAATTTGATCACATTTAGATATCACCATGATCCTATACGAAATTCTATAACAATGGCTTTTTTGCTCACAAAAAAAATCGGAAATTTAGTAGGAAAGCTTTAAACAGAAATATATCAACGATTACAAAACCAAATAAATTTTTTTAGCAGTTATTGAAGAAATATTATAATTTAAAAATAAAATTCCGTTATATAGGATAATTGGATTTTAGTGTTAAAAGGTAAGGTAAACATATTTGATAAATTTTTCGTATATGTATTAAACCACATTTATGGTAACGTATAAATTTAAATATATCACGGCAATTGTACAACCATCTCATCTTTATTGTGAATATTAGGATACTGTCTCACCGAGTTCTTTGAGTTCTAACTTTAAAATTGATATTGGCGAGCAATAAATCCTAAAATATGATTATTCGACCGAATCGATATCGGTAAATTACCGATTCGGTTGATCAGTTGTTTCAAGATTTTAGAATAGCAGTAAATCTCTACCAACATGCCATATGTCAACGAGACTCATTTCGGGAAAATTTTTTATTGGTACTTGATTTTATCGGAGAACTGGTAATGATCAAGGTTTGATTGGAAATTGCGATAGTTAAGGATTTTCCAAACTTCTAAATGCTCGATCGGCAACAGTTTTTCAATTTTTCCAAATAACGATTATAGTCAACTAAGCACTATTCTAGACATTGGTGTCACATTTTTAACAAATGTGGCTTTATAAAGATTACCGTTACAGACAGACAAACAAATATGCTAATGTCATAACACATTAAAGAAAAGATGCATTCAAAGATGACAAAGAAGTGATAGTCACTGTTTGTAATACCAAGCGAGTTTTCTTTTTTTTTCTTTTTTTTTTAAAAAAAAATTTGAAACTTAACAAATAATAATTAACGTTAAAGAATTTTTTTTGGACATGTGATTCATATTTAATGTTTCTGGTGACTTCTGAGGAAATGATTTTTCGATTAGATCGGAGGAATAATAAGGTCATCTTTGCCTTAATAGAATGGGGAAAAAGAACTAATTTGGTGATAAATTGATGGATTTACTAATAGATGAGAAATATCAGAATTTGATAGATTCACACTAATACAAAAGGAAGACAATTCCGAATGATTATTGCTTCTTTAAGTTAGTCTTTCTTGTTATATCTTTACAATTGCATAGATCTTTTCATTTACCAACGCTTTAAGACTTAAATATCGGACAATGTGCATTTACATATAAAGTCCGATACTCTTGACAAGATCTTGCGTAATGATCTGCATGTGATATCACATGCAATTGATGCATGAGAATTCTATAAATTTAAAATTCTATAAATTTAACCTCACCTCTCACTACTCACACTACCAAATAATTACTTCTCTTTTTTAGAATTTCTCTAAAATGAAGCTTTACGATATTTTTAAAATAAAAGAATTATTGCTAGTGTGCCGATATTTAATATTCAAATTTTTTAAATTCTTTACATCTTTTTTTTCAATATTCTCTTTTTCTAAAATTATATTTAAGTTCTTTAAACAATTGTCCTTTATTTTATTTAAACTTCCTGGTATTGCAATAATAATTCGGCTCATCAAAAAGTTTGCAGATCTATTACCTTCTGATAATTACAATTCTACAAGGCTCTATAGTCCTTATTTATTATACCCTGTCGTATTTGATTGGACTTTGAAGGATTTTCAAGAAATATATAATAATTCTAATTCTACAAGAAGTGGATTATTCGTTTTACCACCTACTGATAGCATTAAAAATATTTCCAGTAAATCACAACCTATTCATCGTTGGCGTATCTATCTCAAGACTCATCAAAATCAAAAACAAACATATATATCTTTATTTTTGGAAGCAAATAAGACAAAGTTCGAACAAACCCATGGATTACAAGCTAGAATTGCAAAGTGGAAGTTCGAAATGTTCCGCATAATCGATGCAAAAAATATAAAAAAATGTGCAGAAAAAGTTGCTGAACATGAATTTCAACTATCTTCTAGAAATCCTAACTGGGGTTGGTCCGAATTTTGTGAATTAAACGTTATATTTCCTAATGGTACAGTTTCAGAGAAAACTGATTTACTGATTCGTATTCACTTCTTTGATCCCTATGAAAATGCTCCTGTAATTCACCCCATGTCATTGTTATCACGATCTCTGGAAGATTATTTTAACAATGAAGCTTTTAGTGACATTACTTTCACTTTTAATTGTGGTTCGAAGCTTTATGCTTCTCGACTTGTTCTTACACTTCGTTCTCCTTTTTACAAAGCTATGTTCTCTGGGAGTTGGGTGGAAACTACTACTTCTACTATCCACGTCCAAGATGCAAGCTTTGAATGTTTTCATGCTATGTTTTATTTTTTATACACTAACAAACTTCAGGAGGGTTTGTCTTTTACTATCTTGAAAGAACTATATTATGAAGCTGACATGCGTGATATGGTGGATTTGGCTAAGCTTGTGGTATTTAAGGTTGCTGGAATGATAAATAGTGAAAATTTCGATGATGTATTTATGATGGCTTATCAAACTGAAAATATTTGGTTGAGAGCCAAAGTTATAAATTTTGTTTTTTCACATTTTGATGATTTGTGGACTTGCGAAGGAATAAAGCGGATTATAGAAACTGGAAATGTTCCAGATATTTCAAAGATGTTAGAAAAAAGATTTTTATTGATCAAAAATCATAATTAATAGATTTATTATTTCGAAAAAATAAATTTAAACTTATTCTTTTATAATGCTGCTTTTCATTAGAATTCTAATGATATTCCCCATTAATCCGCGTTAATCTGTACTCTTGAATTCCGTTGATACTGTAACCGATAAACATTTTTTTGCTACACAATTCTTGCTAATTTTCCCATGACATTAATCACGTGTATATATTTTTAAATAAATATTAGCTGTACGGTTTATGCAATCATATGCAAAAATTTCGACGTAGTTTTGATCGAAAGTTCAGATTTAGGATCTCAATAATTATTCTGCAGTATGCTGCTATCTACTGTATTTTTAGCTTATTTAAACATTCTTCTTTTAGTTAGTTTATACCCTGTTTTCTTTTTTTAAAAACCAAATTACTGCAAAGTGAATATAGAAATGTCAAATTAATCCGTATATACTATTTCGGGATAATTTTCCCGAAAATTTTTTTTTAAAAAATTAAAATATTCACAACTGTTTTCATAAATTTGCTCGTTTCCGAAATTTATTCGGCTTCGACCTATGAATCATCTAACTCTCCGGAATTACCTCGCTATCTCCGGACTGAAGTTACAATGACATGTGTCCGAAGAATTAGGTGACCTAACTCTTAAGTCTGATTTTTACTTTAAATTTAATTATCATAGTGTATATACACACTTGTTGATTTACGAATTCATATAAATTACAAAACAAAAAATTAGGGTTGCTTAGGGTTAGTAAGGTTAGCTTTAATGTTGGAGGAGGTAATAGTTTATTGCAAGGAATATTTTTTGCTATAATGCCAAAGCTAATTTATAATCGGGATTTTAAGATATCAATATATGTGTGTATTTACACATAGTGTGCAAAATAGAAATCGTCTATTTAATTTTATGTGATAAGGAAAAGTTTAAAGTTGTTTATAGCTAAAAATATACAGCATAAAAATAAATTTTTAACAAAAATTATTTACTAATTTTGATTAATTTTATATATTTCAATCTAAATTAGAATTGTATCGATTCGCCAGTTCGTCTCGGTCTCTAATGAGACCAGACCAAATAGTATCTAATCGGTCAGCTCCCTGGTCTCAAAATAAGCTATTTTCACGCGTGAAGATTATCAATTTTAGTTATTGCTATCGAAAATTCACAAATAATGTTTGTTTAATTATTTAAAAGGTAATTTATTGTTTAATAGTTAATGGATTGGATTTACTAAATTTAGTATAATTAAAAAAATAGACTAAAATTTTTAAAATTTATTTATTCAAAAATTGTTTAGTATATTTTTTTTATATTAATAGGTATCTGTTTGGCTAGTGTTTAATTATTTAACTAATTCTATTCAAATTTTGCTAAAATATATTTGAATGCTAGAATTATCTTTTGTATAATTTTAGCAATATTTATAAATAAAAATTTTATACAAATTAATCTTAAACCTCTTTTATTTTTCTAAAATCTTGGTATACTTAATTTAATATATTAATAAAAAAATCATACTGTATAAAAATTTAAATAAAAAAAGTTTTGGCATGTTTTAAATCTAATTTTGATTTTAAAATAGCTATTTTATTTAAAAATAATTTTTAAAGTAGTTTAAATAAGCCTGTTTTAAAGGTTATACAAGTCTAAAAATAGTTAGTTTTATATAATAAACCAAAAAAATTAGTAAAATCAAATTACTTATAACTTTTCATTTAGTAAACAAATTTAATAATTTTATTTTTATTAGATTCAAAAAACTAGCTTTATAACATATTAAAAATTATTTATTATTATTATTATTTAGTAATTTTTTAATATTTTTATGATACTAAAAAATAGACAAAAAATAATTTAATTGCAATTTTTAAACTTATTAATATAATTTTTATTAAGATATTTACCTTTTAAACATATTAGATAAATTTAATTTAAAGTTAATAATAATTTTTTTTTTACAATTTAACTTTTAAAATTATATTAAATTTAGTATTTTATACTAAATTTTATATATTTTATAGATATCTATTTATAATAAAATAATTGAAAATACTTATAAAATTTGATATACTAGATTTTTTTTTTTTTTTGGCAATCCTGCCTTTATTGTATAAGGAATGCGTAATATAAATATATAAGTTTCTTGCTAAAGCCAAAACCCCAAAAACTCTTCCTTTTCTTCAATAAAAGCTCACCCAGCTACTCAGAGGTGCCCAGATGCGATCTGCCACAGCAACTCTTTTTCTCCCTTCTGACTTTCAACTTGCTGAAAGATTACCTATCAGATTCTTGGATGGTAGTTGCTAGCCTTGTCAGGACTGTGTTTAAGTTTTGTAACAGTGTGGTCTATATAGCCCTGACCACTTTGGTTT